AATAATAATAATAATAATAATAATAATAATAATAATAATAATAATAATAATAATAATAATAATAATAATAATAATAATAATAATAATAATAATAATAATAATAATAATAATAATAATAATAATAGTAGCAGTAGTAATAATAATAAATAATAATAATAATAACAATGATAATAACAATGATGATGGCATTAATAATAATAATAATAGTAATAATAATGACGATATATGTACGTTCATTAATTTATTAAGAAATATAGTTTATTTATTAAGTGTATAAATTTTAAAATTTATTAAGATCATTTAAAATATCCATTTAATCATTTACGATATTATACAATTTTAAGAAAAAATGGAACGAACAAAACAACACTGTAACAATTTAGACCAATCAAGGTTACAATTATTATCATGACAAAAAACTGAATGATATGTTTGTAAGGAAGAATTTTATTATCCGTTTTTATTATCATTGATCGTATTTATATGCAGTCCGGATGTTACCATAAACCAAACAGTATAGAATGTTTGTTTCATAAATTTTTATTTGATTTATTGATATTATGAATCAATTTACTGATGAAATTTACTCTTATCAGTTGATCAATAATATTAGGTACTTGAAATTTTTTTGCCTAATTTGTTGAATGATGTAAATTTATTACGACACATTTTCTATATTTGTTAGTTTATAAGATATTCTTATCATTTTTTTTTTGTCCCTGTTTTTTCTTTTTTTTTTTTTTTTTTAAAGTATTTGACAGTTTTAATTTTTTTGTTTAATATTTGACAATTTCAATTTCCGGAGTGATTCAGCCAAAAGCAAAATGATTAAACAAGGTTTTATTTTAATCGTCTCTACCTGTATTTTATTTCTAGCGCAAAACTTATCGTTAGATATAATTACGATCAATTTTAACAATAATCATTCTTGAGAATGCATAACTAAAAAGTTTTAATCAAATAATACCATAAAATACCATAAATTTACTATTGATACTGTAAACATTACTAATACTGTAAATCATCAACTTTTACTTTTGCGTTTGAATTATGCAAAGAAGGAAGAAATGAATAGCAGAATAATTTTTTATCCTATGGAATTGAAATAGAATTGCTAATTGTACAATTTCATACCTTATCATAGTAAATTTGGCATTACTGTGAACTATAATACTGAAACATTACTCATACTGTAATCATTACTGATACCATAAACCTTCAATAACTTTTACTTTTGTATTTGAATTATATAAAGGAAAGAAAAAATAAATGCCAGAATGATTTTTCATCCCATAGAATTGCAATAGAAATGCTAATTGAGGCAATTTTATTTCTTACGATGGCAAATTTAGCACCACTACAAACCATTGATATTGTAAACATTATTGATACTGTAAACCTTTATCAACTTTTACTTTTGTATTTCAACTATGAAAGAAAAAGGAAAAATTAGGATATGAAAAAAAACCAAAAGACGGTAAAATAATTTTTTTATTTTATAAAATTTGAATAGAATTGCTAACTGTGTAATTTTATTTTTTATCATTGAAAATTTAGCACATTATTGCGCATTTCAACAGGTTTTGTATGATTAATTGGAAATACTACTGTATTAAGTGTATGTAACAGTAATTATAGTTTCCAAAATTTGCATAACCATATTTTTTTTTTAATTTCCCTTCCGGTGTTTGATTACTGTATCCTATAGCTTTACTTTTATCAGTTTATTTATAACACTTTTTTTCGTTATAACATCACAATGATTGTCATGATTGATTCGTTATCATTTTTCGTTATGATTTATTTATTATCATTTTATTATTTTCAGTGTATGTAAAAGTAAAATGGAATAAAAGCTATTCCTATTATATCATTTACATCATTAACTTCTCCACTCTTATTGATTTGATCGTTTTACACAATAAGCTTAATTAAATATGCAAAATGGAATTGATTATTTGAAACTTATAATATGGAAGAAATTTTCCGGAATCATTTTCTTATATACAATAATTTTTGTTTTATTGTAATTTACATTAACAAAAGAATGGGTTGAAATGTTTTTGAGCATTTATTTGGAGTTATTACTGCTTAAATAATAATTAACCAAAAATGCGAAATGTTTGAACGATTTGTTTTTATTTTATTCAGTTAAAATAAAATTATTATTGTGAATATATTTGGGAAAAATTCGATTCATATATTTTTTAATTTAAATATTTAAAAATTTCTTTAAAATTATTACATGTATAGGAAAAAGTTCATTTTTTCAACATTTTAAAAAAATAATTTTAAATGATTTCCAAAAATGAAAATAGAATAAATTTCAAAAAATTGAAAAGAAGAATTAATAAAAGTCCAGAAAATAAGTGCAAATAAACAAATCTGGAAAAAATTATTTTTATGTTAACACAAAAATGAATGTTAGCAATCAATGTGACAATCATATTTGGGAGGAAAAAATGAAAAAAAAAAACTTTCATCTTTTATGTTAGCATTTATTTATTAAAATATTAAATATAAATTTATAAAAACAAGCAATAATGTTTACAATTTATAACCAATCAAATATTTTTTTCGGCAGGCAAAATGATATCTGATTTAATTTAAAAAAAAAAAAAAAAAAANAAAAAAAAACTTTCGTTATTATAAATGACCATATTGTGGATTGTATGAGTGACCAAAACCAGCTTTTTGATGCCTATTTTTTTTTTATTCTTACCAGAAATTTTACAGTATTTCCTGCATCGACGAGCAAAGCATTTCTCAATGCAACTCCTTATCAGTCTTCTTATCAGCTATAATATTTTTTAATGGTTATTAATATTTTCTTTTTCATTTATAAATAAAGTAAATATTTCTAAAAAGAGAAAAAAAACTAAAGGAAGTGAATGATTGATAAGTAATTTGGAATTATATGTGTTAAAATTTATTGATAAAGTTTGTGTTAAATGTTAAATGTTAATCTATACAGTAATATTTGACAGTTTTAATTTTCAAATCGATTCAATCAAATAAAAAATCAGTACCGATCAAATAGAATAACCAATATTTTCAAATCAGAAATGTAATATGTACAGTAGCAATTTAAGAATTAAAAATTAATTAATTGTCTTGAGAATTATCTCGCTAAATATACTGTGGTAGGCTAATTTGTCGAGAAATATCAGGAATAACAGATTAAAATTAATAAAATTTCTAATCTTTTTTTCAGCCGAAATTAATTAGAAATATTTGTTAATTAATAAGCGTAACATTTAGTAATTCTAATGCTAAATCTATTGTCGACATAAATTGTGAAAAAATTTTCATCATTCTAGCGAAATATTATCAAGAATTCATTTTTAGGAATGATATTAATCGAATATTCTCTTACTTAATCCTGTTAAAATTGATAATATTTAAATTTTTACCTCAAAAGGTTAGATCAGGTCAACAGGTACAACCGATTACTGATCTGGATCATTTTATAGATTAACCGGAAAAAAAACCGTAATGAATCATAAATTCCTATTTCATACAAGGATTACTTTAGTTTAAAAATAAACTGCTAATGTTTGCTTTGGCGTTTTTT